TGTATCTTATTGGACTAATGAAATGAAAAGGAGTTTTATATCCTACTGTTCTGTATCTTTTTGGACTAATGAAATGAAATACAGTTTTACATCCTACTGTTCTGTATCTTATTGGACTAATGAAATGAAATACAGTTTTACATCCTACTGTTCTGTATCTTATTGGACTAATGAAATGAAAAGGAGTTTTATATCCTACTGTTCTGTATCTTTTTGGACTAATGAAATGAAATACAGTTTTACATCCTACTGTTGTGTATCTTATTGGACTAATGAAATGAAAACGAGTTCTATATCTTACTGTTCTATATCCTATTGGACTAATGAAATGAAATCGTGTTTTATATCCTACTGTTCTGTATCATATTGGACTAATGAAATGAAATAAAGTTTTATTGTAGTAGTAGTAGTGAGGCGCTCTCGCTATGAAAGCTTAACAGAATATCACGAAATAGTAAGGATTGATAGAAGGAAAGGGTGGTAAAAGTATATATATGTAGGGGAGAGGGGGTAATGCAGTTGATCAAGGATCCTGCAATTGTTAATAGAAAGGAAAACGATAACGATAGCTCTTTAGCTTTAGATATTCACAAGTGGTTTTCTCTCAGATATCGTTACTGTATACAGCTCACGTATGACCACCCTTTCTTTGTGTTTTTAATCGACTATGTTAGTGCAAGTATCGTACCCCTGTAGGCCTTCACTTTCTGTAAATTGTAACAGCCAAGCTATATACAACTGACCGTGATTATAATCTAGAATAGAAAGATTATTTATATGTCTTAAATCTCTTACTACTTACAAATCGTTTTATTGATATCTACTTATATACTACTAGCTTATCGTCGTAATACCGGTAAGCTGTAAATACATGACTCTGGTAGGTTGCTTAGTAGATGACAAGTTGGCTTCCAGCTAACGGATATCACAGACTCGGTAGTTGTTAGTAGGTGACAAGTCAACGTTCGCTTCCAGTGGATGTTGATATCACAGACTAGGTAGTTGTTGGTAGATGACAGGTTAACGTTCGAATCCAGCGGGTGCTGATATCACAGACTAGGTAGTTGTCGGTAGATGACAAGTTTACGTTCGCTTCCAGAGGGTGCTGATATCATAGACTAGGTAGTTGTTGGTAGATGACAAGTTAACGTTCGCTTCCATCGGATGTTGATATCACAGACTAGATAGTTGTTGGTTGATGTCAAGTTAACGTCCGCTTCCAGCTAACTGATATCACAGACTAGGTAGTTGTTGGTAGATGACAAGTTAACGTTTGCTTCAAGCTATCTGATATCACAGACTAGATAGCTGTTGGTTGATGTCAAGTTAACGTTCTCTTCCAGCGGATGCTAATATTATAAACTAGGTAGTTGTTGGTAGTCGTAGTAGTTGGGAGCTAGAAAGGTTCAAATTGAACGATTCTGTGCTGATGATTTTGTAGTTGATAATGACTAGCACTGGTTTTAAAAAACGGGACACAAGTTTATGGTATACTACTCCTTAGTTTTATTACACACTACGTTTCAACAATCTACATTGTCATCTTTAGATGAAGTGAGGAAATATGGTACAAGAACTAAGGAGTAGTATACCATAAAATTGTGTTCCGTTTTTTAATGTGATCTCTACCCCTAAATGTCGCTAAAGGATTATCACTGATTTATACATCTATTTGATTAACCTACATGGTATATACTTATTATATATTGAGCATCCAAGCGTATCGTTGTCGTCTTGATAAGATTAAACCTCAGTGAACTATAGGTTTAAATCATTAAAGGGAAAGTAGTATGTGACACCTCCCACCTATAACCAGACCTGGTGCCAGGTTCTTCCTGCATTTCAGTTCCCTGTGAACCTCCAATGAGGCTAACACCTGACGTATTTGTTTTATTTCAGAAGAAAAAATCCCTAAATTTAACCAAAATGCCAAAATATACATACTACTATTTTAATATCCGGGGCCGAGGTGAACTTCCCAGACTGATTTTCGCCGCCGCTGGAGTCCAATACGAAAATAAACGATTAGAATTCGCTGATTGGCCAAAACTTAAAGAAGGTAAGATCATTTTGAAGCAGGGTCTTCAACCTCGGGGCAATAATCTCCTACGGGATATTTTGGAAAGCTTTGCGATGCTTTTAAGTCATAAATAGAATTTTTAGACAAGTAATGGAAAGAAATAGGTTGAAAACATGCAAGGAATGCAAACATTACTTTCAAACACAACGTTTCTACAATTTACATTTTCATCATTAGATTATTTGCTACGACCGTACAAAAGTTACCCACAAGAAAGACTCGATTACTGTGGTCAATTTCAAACATGACTTCTTTTGGTATTTCAGAGGCACCATTAGGATCGCTACCAATTCTAGATATCGACGGAAAGAAATACCCAGAGAGTATCCCAATATCCCGATATCTTGCTAGAGAATTTGGTAAGTATAACGACCACACCTCTCATTTCAATCCAAAACACCTGTCTCTATTCCAGCCTTTGATTGCTATTTTGATAGTTATCGGTTGGCGTAGAGGTAAAGGTAGCCACAACTTTCAAAAAAATATCTAAGGCTGAAATAGAGACAGATGTTTCGGTCTACTATCATTTATAACTTCTCTTATATTTCTCTCTCACTTGAGGCTTTCTTAACTTTGTAAGTGACTTGGAGCCTTCTGTGTCTTCTATTTGTAACATTCAATCCATTTTTCAATCAGGTTTTTGGAAGTTAGCGTTATTATATGATTATAGCTAAGTACACCACCACCACTCCAAGTCCCACCCCAAGTCCCACCCCAACCCAAATAATTTGGTACCCCTGCCCAATGTTACAGGTTTAGATGGTAAAAATAACATTGAGAAACTTCAGACTGATGTTATAGTTGAAGAATGTATTCAGATTCGAGAAGATCAATTCAACGCTCATTTTGAAAAGGATGAAACTATCAAGGTACCAGTAGAAATTTTTTTATTGAATTTTTTGTTTTTTTGATAGAATTTCTATTTTTTTAAAATGTTGATGGATTTTCCATTTGCCCTCTCGGTCACTAGATAACTCCATGTTGTTTTGAGAGACAATTTTGATCAAGAGTGTCACTAGCATCATTTCAACTCCTCTGAAACCATATCTGAAACCTAGTAGATTAACAGAGTTACATCCCTTTATGAATTAGACCGTTATCTGCAGTTTTCTCCCTTTACAATGCTATACTATATTGTTTATTTACAGGCAGAAAAACAGAAGAAACTGACGGAAACGACTCTTCCAAAAATTCTGGGTTTTATTGAGAAAGCTTTAAGTGAAAATGCTCGTGGTAATGGTTTTGTTGTGGGCAACCAGGTAGGTTACTGATAATATC